TTTAAAGGATGATTTATTTAATGACAGCTATGTGCCAGAACAGGTCTAAGTCCTTGAAACATAATGTTAATCAAAAGAGACAAGCTCAGCGGGGTGTGGCTGTTCGCTTAAGATTCCAGTGCTTTGAGGCACTGAGGCGAGAGAATCCCTTAATGTTAGGAGTTTGAGAGCAGCCTGGGCAATATAGTGAGACTCCATCTCTACAAAAAAAAAGTTTTTTTTTTTTAAATTAGCTGGGCATGGTGGTTGTTTCCTGTAGTCCTACCTACCAGGAGACTGAGGTGGGAGGATCACTTGAGCCTAGGAGTTCCCAGGCTGCAGTGAGCTGTGATCACACCACTGCACTCCAGCCTGGGTGACAGAGTGAGATTCTATCTCAAAAACAAAAACAAAAAAAGAGACAAGATCAGTGATATCATGGGCTTATATTCTAGTGAGCATGCAGATTATAAAATAATACAAAAATATAGTATCAGATAGTGATAAATGGTTTGCAGATTTTTTTTTTCCTGAGACATAGTTTCACTCTTGTTCCCCAGGCAATGGCATTATCTCGGCTCACTGCAACCTCTGCCTCCTGGGTTCAAGCAATTCTCCTGCCTCAGCCTCCTGAGTAGCTGGAATCACAGGCATGGGCCACCACGCCCAGTTAATTTTGTATTTTTAGTAGAGACGGGTTTTTCCATGCTGGTAAGGTTGGTCTCCAAATCCCAACCTCAGGTGATTCACCTGCCTTGGCCTCCCAAAGTGCTGGGATTACAGGCATGAAGAAATTTTTAAATAAAAAAGGTAATGGGATAAAGGGAGATGAGCCTAGTGTCATTCTGGAAAGATGGTTAGGCAGTAATGCTTGTCTAAAAAGGTGATACTTGAACTACAACACGAAATGATGAAAAGGAGTCACTCATGTAATGACTTAGGAAAAGAGTTCCAGACAGAGTGAACGGAGTACAAAAGCCCTAAGTTAGGAGCAAGTCATGGCATTGAAGAGGAACAAAATGAAGGGCAATGTAGACGAAATACAGTAAAAAGTAGAGGAAGAGGGTATAGAAATGATAGATTTAAGAGGAAAAGATGTAAACTAGCAAAGGATGGATTAGATCATGTACAAAACTAGCAAGCAGCAGAAAGGATTTTAAAATAACTTGAGCTTTATGAAATACTCATTATATTATCTTTAATTCTCATTTTGCCTTGGGTCAGTGGTAACTTTGACAGATAGGCCTTTAGAAACTTTCATTCCCAAGTCCTTAACATAGTCCTAAAGTTGGCCAGAAATGAATATATTCCTAAGCAGAAAGTATCTCTTCTAGTACACTATAGTTAAAAAAGAAAAAAAGAATTTTCAGATGAAAGCAATCATCTTAAAGGAAAGAAGGAAAATAACCTAGAATGAAGGAATAATAGAAACGACTTCAAATTTTGTTCTGTTCACTACTCTGTGAATAAATTTACCATATAAAGATTACAGAAAGGTCTTTGAATTAGTCTATCATAATTAAGGAAGGTCATAAAACCTAAGTTCTTTCTAAACTACCATCAATGTGACAGCCTGTTTACTGAGTTCATTATTATTGAACTGGACATTAACAAAGTTAAATACCATCAGAAAAGAAAAAGTAGAAACCAGCCTTCTGACTTTATTACCCCTGGTAAGAATGGTCACAGCTTAATGGTCAACAAAGTTGTGGGCTTTAATCTTATCTCTATGACTATGACAGAGGAAGAACTTCCCCTCTGTGTTGAAATGAACACTAAAATTAGGTACACGGGATGCTTCAATATCTTCTCCAAAAGCTTTTTATAAGAAGACACCAATTTGTTTAAAAGAGGTTTGGATATAGTTACACACCACGGAAGAGTGATGATCTTTCCAGATCCTTCCAAACGACTTATATCTGTGTACACTATGCAAGTAATTAAACCTACACTGCTTCTAAGATTAATGCAAGTCAAGTCAGATCTTTGAAAGCCATAATGTATTCAGGAATCTTATCTTTCATCATGTTAGATGTATACTTAAACCACAGTAGACTGTTAATAAGAGAGTCTATAAAGAATGATACTTTGTGAGCGTGGTGTGTGTTAAAGAAAGAAAAGTCATTAAACACCTTGACTGAGCCTTGCTTCTGAGTGCATCCTCCTCAGCACACTTACCAGCAGTTTGGCAAAGTGCCCAGGATGATTAGCAGCCAAGGTATATGTAAACGTGGAATATAGTTAAGCCCAATTGTAAAGTCTCCCCCCAGTGGTCAGATACAAGTAACAGAGAAGGAGGAAAACCATTGCAGCTTCTGTGAGACTCAACAGGAACACTAAACAAAACTGGTCCCTACAACAAAAAAATAAAATATTTAATGCAATAATGCCACCGTATCAGAGAATAGATCTCTTGTACTTATCTGCTCTTATATTTATAAATGTGAAGACCACTTTTCTAAAGAAAGAGCCTACAGTTAAAACAAAACTAGCATAGTTTTTCTCAGCATAATTTTTAAGGAATAACTGACATATTCCCAAACAGTTTAGTATTTATTTTATCAAATGGGTAAGTGTTCATTCTTCCTGAAATAAATATCAGCACATCGCTTACATGGTTAACTATACTTACCTGAAGTAGACTTCTGATAAAAAAAAAAATTTAGTCACTTATCAAATGAATCACTCTGGAAAGAAAAATTATTAACTATTATATACCTAATGAGAGATTTACAAGACACTCGTTTTCAAAAGTCACCTAGCAATAGGCAATTTATAGTAGAGTAAGCGATGTCAAAAGTATAAATGGATTCTCTTACGTCTTTTTATTTTCTTGCTGTCTTGTACAACTAGCCTTTGACCAGCACTAATCCTGTATGATTTGTAACTCTCAGCAATAATTTGCTGATGCTACTCAATTTTAACAAAGCTCAGATGTCAAAAATATGAAAGGCATTTAATTAAAACATCTGTTGTCTTCTGCTAATCCATTATTAAGTAGTAAAGTATGTAAAGGGATAGTAAATATTCAAACAAGCAACTTCAGTTTTAAAACAACTTTTTAAAAAGGTAACAATCACAATTATGTCTTCTTGGTTATCTCAAGCTAAAAAGAGGGGAGTGGGAGAGAAAGAAGCAGGCTATGTAGTTTTCTGGAACAATTTCAGCCTAAAATGAGACTGAGAAAGAAGCAAACTGCTCCCTCAAATGTTTAAAAATATGATTCATTTTTAAAAATCCAACAGTTGGTCTAAAGAAAAAAAAAAAGATTCTGTCTTACATAGAGCTACTAGACTTGCTTAAGCACCTTCATTTTTCCAGTGTTGATTTTACCTAGAATGTAAAATAATTCATTTTCACATTCGAGATGGAAAAGAATTCGGTGGCATCAGTAAGAACACATACACACCTCTTCCATAAAGATGGTGTGCAGCCTTCATAGGACAGAACTGAGTAATTAAAAGTGTCACCATTTGTGTATTATGTAACCGTAGTCTAGAATATAAGAACCATGGACATCAAAGGGTAACATATCGTATGAACACGTATATAAAGACCTATTTAAATAGATGATACATTAAAGGTACAAATGACCTCAAAATGACACAATCCACAAAAGTTCTTTGTTTACTGTTAATAAGGCCTCAAAAAGAACTATAATGAGGCCTACCACTCTGTCATCACTGCACAGTAGATGCCTGCAATAAGCAATATTACTTGAGGTCCACTGCTATATCTATATAAGGAAACTACCGCATTACTAACAATGTTACTTCGCCTGATATATTCGACCAACATAAGTTTATAAATGATTTGCAAGATTTCATGGAATGAAATGGCTGCTAAATCATACTTCAATTGAAGACCATTTTAACTCACCCCAAACGTTCTCAGCTACACTACAAGACCACTTGAAGCACAAAGTAAAATTCCAGCACTCTCCAAAGGCGCAGGAAAGAGTAAAATGTGGCTAGCCTGAGCTTAACCGGCTGTTTATAAGTAATGCGGAGAATTTTCTGAGCTTCCCCGTTCAGTCTTCAGTTCTCTTCTTCGCTTCACCCCCCACCCCATACACAGATTCCCACCCAGCTGATGGAAGTTTAACAAATGTAATCTCGAGCTGCAATCCCAGAAACTGGTAAGACTGAGAATAAACTCCCAATAAACTGTTAAAAAGTCCTTCTGCAAAAAAACATCTACCAACCAATCCACATCCCGTCACCACACGGTCAGATCCCTCAATCGACTCCCCTGCTGACCCTCCAGCCAGCCAAAAAAAA